TTGGTTTCAAAAATACAACCCTATTATAAATGTTTTATCAGTATTCTGAGAAATACCATGAGAAAAAAAAAGTAGGCATAAGGCAAATAAAAATATATAGTCTTAAAAAATAATAACCCGCATAATTTCTACTAAAATTTTTATGTTTGTCTGTATTATTTTGTAAATTCACTTTGTCTGAGCTCAAGGGGGGGTTCAAACCCCTAACCCCCCCCCTTGCGTACGCCCCTGCAACTAACCATAAAACAATAGTTATCAAAATACTACTAGCGAAACTCAAAATCTCCAATGGCGCCAACAACATTTTTTAATAAAAATTCATCTTTTCCCTTCAGTTTCTTGGAATTATTTACTGAAATCTGTTTATGTGTACTATTTTATAGTTAATAAATAAATAAGTTTATGTGCACTATTTTAAAGTTATTAAGTAACCATGTCTTATCATTTTAAAGTTATTAATTAAATATGCTTAATCTTATTTTAAATTTATTAATTAAATGTTTATGATTACCAGTTTAAAAATAAAACTGATATTTGCAGTATTTTAAAGCTATATGACACACAAAAATCACAATTCTCAAAGTAACAAAGGGAGTAAAACAATAGATAAAAATTTAATAGTATAAATACATCAGTATAGATAAAAATACAGACTTATAATATACATATATTTTTCATAATTTTACAATGTGCATAAAATAAACTATTAGTGTCAGTTCTTCAAAATTACTGTAAATTATCATTATATGATATATTTGTATAATGTAATTTTAATAAAATAAGTGTAAATAAAAATTCATACACAATCATTAGCGCAATAAAATTCAAATGTATTTTTGCACAGAAAAATACATAGATTTCATAACACATATGAAACATTCAATTAGTCACAGAAAAAAAGATTTCTTTTCCAAGTATTTTAAAAATACCCGAGCAAAGATAAAACTTACAGCACATTAATTACAGATAAAATATAATAATAAAACTAAGTCTCAGAAAAAGGACATCACAGTGAAAAGAATTTGCAGTATTTTTGAGGGAAATTTATAATTGTATATATAAATTTCTGTGGAAAATAATTCTGTGTGACAATAATTGTGGGACAACTTAACTTAAAGTAATGAAATTTATTTAACAAATAGTTGCTACTAGAAGAAAGGGAAAAAAATAATTGAAATCCTGAACAAAATGTGAAAAATATTTAATAAAATAATTGATACTGACTACAGTGACAACACCACTTTATTGGTGGCTTTTATCATCTTATTTGCAATCAGAAAGAAGTAATAAATTATATTGATTATTAAAAATGATGATGAACTTTGATGAAAATACTGTGTATTTTATTTGTAAAAAACATTACTTAAAATTAAGATATTGCACAAAAATATAATATTTTAAGAAGAAAAAAAAATGACATTTTTTTTATTGGTGAAAAAATGAATATGATGGATTAAAAACAAATTTATTTAATTATTTGAGACTTTCAAAAACATTTTATCCACTCTTTTAGATTCTAAGCTCGAAACAGCATTATTATCAATAAATTCCTTTTCTTTTTAAAGAAAAGTGTTTAATTTTAAGTTTTCCAAATAGTTCAATATATTTATGCATATATAAAGAAAATATTTACTTCAGGATATTTCACAAATAAGTTTCTACTGATGTTAAAACAACAAAAAACACAGCGAGAGATATATTCATTACTGTTATAATAATGAATAGCATGAGAATTTTGTTAACACACATTGGGTAATAAATAAAAAAGATCAGAGAACGTTCATCTAAAATATATGAAGGTAATAACGCATCATTCAAGGAAGGAGTTGCCGTTTGGTGTGATATCCTATAAGAAATTATAACATACATTTAAAATAAATAATAAGTTATAACATAATTTTATAAATAAAGTGTATAAAGCTTTCTTTATTATTTAGCAAACTGATCAAATGATTGTCCTCTACTTTGAATGTCGGGATGCATTCAAAATAAGGTTTTGCTGTGAAAAAAAGCCTAACTGAAAACATTTTCTAAAAAAAAATATTTTTAGCATATGAAATCTGTGAAGAATTTTTTACAAAAATGATTATCAATCTTATTATAATCAATAATCTTAAAGTGTGATGTAATAACTTATTGAAGTATGTAAATGTGTCGAAAGATTAGTTCAGTAACAAGGTTGTTTTTATTGAGTCCTTTTTTATGTATATATAATTAGATATGTGTTAAAAATAATAGTGTTTATAAGACCCCAAATAATCTGAATCGTAGTTTAAATAATTCATTTCTTTAGCAACTCAGAGAAAAAAAATACACTGGTAGAAATTCCTCACTTGCTTAGAGAGCATAATTTGAGTTTCTATCTGATTCATCCTTTACATTTCAATGACAAATTCTATTGACACCAAAGCTTATAAAAAAGCTTTACATTCCTTATTACACTATTAGACTTTTTTTTATTTGACACAGTAACTGGCACAATTAACCCTAAAAAATTTATGATTTTCGAATATTCTGCTTAAAAGGAAACATGCATTTCTTTGATAATTTTTTTTTCCAAATACATCATCAATTTAATTTGAAATATAAAAAAAATTTTACAAAGAAAAATATAGGAATTTATCAAATAATTATATTTATGACAAAAGTATATACTTAAAAAACAAATATATAAAGTAATAACGAAAGAACAGCTACCTGATATTTTAACTGCTAGTTAAGTTTCAAGAGAACAGCCAGAAAATTTACAACATCTTGGAAATTTAAAAATGTTTTAGAAATTGTTGTTACTATAGCACCAGGTAAAGAGGATGACACATTCACTATATATCCATACTAAAATAATATAAAATACTCATTCAATGAGTAACATCAATGCTTAGAAATGAGTATATATCACATAACAGGACATTTTCTTTGCGCTTTGAATTAGACTAATGGATTCTGTATAACAAAAAGCACTTTATTCATATATCAAGAGCTAAATGGTATATCACATGCTATTTTTGTAAAAGTAAATTAACTAAACATCTAGTAAATATTCAGATATCCCACTTTTTAACATCCTTGAAAACTTGGGAAGGTAGATAAGGTTTTCTTGGTCAAAAATGGTTGCCAAGTTAGTGATGTCAATGAAAGCACTTTTCTAATGTTTGTATGTTGTCACTGTGTATAGTTAAAATACATAAAGTTGCCAAGAGAAAATGTGGATTTTATGGTAAACAAAAAATAAGTACAAATTCATTAAACAAACAATCCAAAGAAACTGAAGCGGTAGGATATCACCCAATTAAAACTTCATTCGCATTTAAAATATACAAACAGGAAACAACAGTCAACACGTTTCAAGCACTCCGGAAATAAGCACCCACTTTTAAGATTTGTTAGGCTTGAATGTGAACAAACAAAAGTCATTTGACAAAAAAAAACTTAAAGTTACCAACAAAAAATGGAGAAATAAAGGTGAGAAAACAAAACTAGAAAAACCGCAATAGCCAAGAGAGGGGAAAAAAGAAAAATAGAACAAGAAACGTGGTCAGAAGGACCTTGACTACATTGGGCAAATAAAATCTTGTTTTAAAATTTAAACTTGAGGAGCACGATAGATATGTCTGCTATCAAGAATTTGAAAAATCCTCAATTGCTGAACATTGTTGGAATCTTGGGCATAAATTAAAATTTGACAATGCCAAAATTATTTCCTCCCAAGTCACATCAGCTCATCTTGACATCCTGGAATCTTGTTTTATTCAAATGAATACTGACTCCCTTGTTAACGACATCAGTTTCTCATGACCCCTCCACAGTGAGTGGAAATGCATTTAACCCAGATTTGCCACTCTAATTTTTCTTGTTCAGTTCTTCATATCCCCCCCCCCTCTCTCAGATAGGCTACTGTGGTATTTCTAGTTTTGCTTTCTCACCTTTACTTTTCTATTTTTTGTAGGCAAATTTACATTTTTATTTTAAATTACTTTTGTTTCTTCGCATTCACGTCTGGCAAGTCTTGAAAATGAGTGACTATTTTTGAAGTGTCATTGAAACATGTCAATTGTTGTTTCCTGTTGGCCTATTTTTTAAGTGAATGAAGTATTAATCAAGTAATACAAATTCATTATTTTCAGCCAAAAATACACAAGAAACATATAATTTCATTTAAATTAGGACAGCACAATATGCAGCACATAGGATTAAATAAGATGATTTAAATAATGTCAACTCTGATTAGAAATAATAAATTGTCAGAACTATAAACTTGAATGAAAGGAAAAATAAGACTAAGATAATTTACTAGGTAATATTTAAAATTAAAAAAAAATTATTAATACGAAGTTGTTGGAAAAAAATAATAAAAATACATAAATAATCTGTGTATGGTTAAATCAATCTGTGTGAAGTTATATCAATGTAGGAACATTTTTTTAAAACTAAAAAATAATCTGTGATAATTAAAATTAAATCAATGTATTTTTTAAAACGAAAATGCAATAATAATTAAAACCCAATATATAAGCATAGATTAAAATTTAATTATAGGAATATAATTATAGGAATTGTTCAGACAATTGCAGTAGGGCTAAAAAAGACCTTTAAAAAAAGTCATTGGGTCTAAAATAAAAAAATTTTTTTATTACCAACACAATGTTAATTGCACACAAGTATAAAATTTTTATATATTTTTTTATACCATATAAGTTGAAATAAATTTGAAATAGGAATTTTAAACTCTGAGACAGTCATCACATGTTTGGATAAAAATAAAATGAAGACTACTTACTAAATTTGTATGATAAACTTGGACTATAAAACTTTTAATTTTTAACCTCATCATTTGCATTTTTAATAATGAATGCTTGTACAGTCTTTCCTTCATCCTATTCTTTAACAGCTCTGTTCTTTTCCAAACAGGTTCTTTGCCTCGATCACCAAAAAGTTTTTCAGGTCCTGTAAACAAACAATATTTTATTTACTTCCATACTATTTCATTTCTAGGCCCATAAAAACTTATTACCACTACGCTTATACTACAATAAATTAAGCATCACTGTCATAAATAATAGTTTTGTGCACTATGTAAACATACTAGTACCATATAAACTATAATTTATCATTAATTAAATCACACAGAATTTGTAATGACTACATTTCCTAAAAGTTTATCAATCATTCATTCTCGGCAGGTTTTAGAAAGTAGACGCTATTACATGATTTCACAGTAAATACAGTAGAATCTAAATAATTATACTGTGCAAAAAATTTTAGTAAATAAAGAAAACTATTCTTATCGTAGTATGGAAGTCATTGTTGGGTAGGACGGGACATTGGGTATATGTTTCCTTTAATATTTCTGACAAATAAAAACATTTTTCCTGAATTATAGATTTAAATTCCTTAAAGATCCAAGATAGAGATTAATATATATTCTTCTGCAGGTATTTAGCAAATAAAATAAATAATTTCTCTGATGTGAAAAATTCTAGAGAACAATTGTGATTGATTAATTTATTTAATTTCATCCCCCTCAAATACTTGGCCCTAGTGACATCTATGATTTTTATTAACCTCAGCAGCCTAGCCTGAATGGCAAGTTCATCTTCTATAACTTAGATGGTGGTTATATTCTCCATTAAATAAACATGCATATCGATCAAACAATTTCTGCGGAAATAAGACAGCATTTTTAAAAAATGTAACAAGGAAAAAATTTCAATTATGATAATGTATAGATATTTAATTAGTGCTTCATTAAATTTTGGTAATAAATAAAGAGAATTATATTTTTCTGCAACAAGGCTTAAACAAGTGTAATATGCAAAATTTAATTTTATACAATCAATATTCAAAAGAAAAATAATTATGAACAAACAATGCTCTTAACTATAAAAATATACCCGGGCCCGCACTAATAATTTGCCACCTCGCCAAATGGGATAAAATCTTAAATTTGGCAAATAAATTGTGTTTTGGCAAAAGCATTAGCGAATAATTTTGTTCCACTGGAAAGAAAATGTATAATAAAATATTTTTAAGATTTGCATTTGGCGAAGATTTTCGAAAATTGAAGACTTTTGATAGTTGGCTAACTTACTGGCTAATAATTTGAAATCCTTAATGCAGGCCCTGCAAACTAATTTTTAATAACTAAATATCAATTCTAAGTTAGTAAATTGCATAGGACTAGAACTGCTTTAAAAAATCAAAATAAAGCCAAACCTCTTTAATGACCACCTCTAAACAACAGCAACCTCTGAAAAAATGATCATATGTTTATGGAACCATGCTCTTTCCATAGGATTGGGGGAAAAACCTCTGATTGGTGGAGGCCATACCATTACTGCTACAATTTTTATTTTAGAATGTAACTTTAGTCAACTTTTTTTCATTTTGAAATATATTTCAAAATGTTGTTGATTCAGTAAATATTGACATAAACTTCGTTTTGTCTCTTACATATAAAACACAGAAGAGGTATGATGTCAATATTGATCACTGAAATGGAATTCGCGAATAATTCTGATGTTCTGGAAAATTTTTATGACTTTTATAATTTTGCTGCCAATAAACATAGTGGAGGACAGAACACTATCATGAAGTCAATGGTTGGAACAAGAGATAAAATCACTGAAATATCTATTTTTGTCGTAGTTTGTAATGCAATAAATAAAAATACAGTAGTTTGAAAAGATTTCTGGAATTTGCTTTTAGTAATTTCAGTAAAGAAATAAAGTTCAAATGCAATTAAATACAATTGGTGCAAATCGTATGCAAGTCCATCAGCAGATCCAATGAGAATGTCTCCATGGCTGAGCGTTTTAAATTTTATTTAGTGATTATAAATTATAGCTAATTTATTAATTCGCCTGTAAGGTATCTATACTCTCAAAGTTAATGCTTAGTTATGATCCAAAAAAAAAGAAGAAAGCAATGGATATTATTTTAATGAAGAGGAACATGAAATGAAAGAGGAACATGAAATGAAAGAACTTGAAACACTTAACTAAGTAAAAAATAGTTAAAACTTTTCTAGCATTTCTTGAATCAAATGTCCATTGCCAAAAAAGGCATAAAAAGTAAAAGATTGAAAGAAAAATTTGATCATGTAAACGTGAAAAAATATTTTTAAATAATTTTTCATGTTTAAATAAGCCAATTTCTTATACAAAACAAATATACAAATATTTTATAAATTTTTTCTACCAAGGTCTAGTTTCTTCTTGAACATGAGTGTGAATTGAATCCTCTAGAGAAATTTATCTCCTAAAAATAGTCAAGTAGTAATCACCCCAAACTATATATACATAGTTCCTGGCAGAACAAATATTTTATCAAGATTTAAAAAAAAATTGCCAAGTATTTAATAGATTTTAAAAGCATATATATAAATAAACGTAAAACCAAATGTGCATGATTGAAATATTTATTGATTTATTGACAATAAAATATCAAATTATTTTACCTACAACTAATGCTAATTTATGATTTCAAAAGTTACATTCCATTATTAGCTGCATTCAGTTCCCCCTCCCTTGATTTTCCATTTGTTCAACAATATGAAATAAGACTTTAAAAAAGACACTGCTATCTTAAGAATATAAATATTTGATATTAAATAAAAATATTTTAAATTCAAATAAACAATTTTTTTTTAAAAATTGATTGATATCAAAAGATTTTTAAAAAAATCAAGTGATTTAAATGATGCCATGGGGCTGGTTAAATATTCAAAACTAAGGATTATTTTTTACAGAAATTAAACATTGAACTCCCTAACAATTCCAGGTCCTATAGAAACCTTGGCATTAGGTCAGAAATTTATATGACTACAAACAGTATTCTTACTTTCATCACCCAGAGGAGGCAAATAATAGTCAACATACATTTCCCCAGCCTCTAACGTAAAATCTAAAGCTAATTCACAGACTTCTCCATACGGTGATGCACGGAATTCAGCAAGTTTCTCTGAACTTTCATGTAGCAACTATAAACATAAAAAAAAAACAATAAAATTTTTTAAAAAGAATATTAGAACATAGCTTTGAAGTAAGATTTGTAAAATTAATTCATTTTCATGAGTCTTAATATCATTTAACTCATATCGTCAGGGCTCCAGTGGGGAAATTCCAGTACTTTTTAGTGAGGGGGAAATTTGTTCCAGAACTTTAATGAACATACTACTAATTTTCACAGAATAATCTTAACATTGCAAATTAAAAAAAAGTTTTAGTATAGATTGCACACAATACTAACAAATTGAAAGCTAACTCTGCTAATGTTTAGAAACAAATTGTATTGGATTACGACAATGGTCAGATTAGAGTTATCACTTTCTGCTCTGTTTCTACCGAATTAATCATAAAATACAAGTGATGCTCGTATCTTTTTCGGTAGATTACTGCTGATTTTCACAGGATTTTTAAAATTCCAAAACATTTAATAAGGATATTATGAAACGAGCCTCGAATTGTGCATTCAATTTTTGATGTACTTCATTCATGTGAATTTTATCAGAAATTCCAAGTTATTTTTAGTGAATTATTACAACACATTTCTACATGGTATTGAAAGTCCTGATATTTTGAAATCAATATTATTACTACACTCAAAGTTGAATCACATATTTAAATAACACAGGAAAAAAAAAATTCTTGAAATTTTTATATAGATTTTAAATACTACACTATATATATACATATATATATATATACAGTGTTTGTTCACATTGCTGATTTCAAATCTGCAATCCGTTTCTCTCTTTAAGGTACAACAATTTTTTTAAAAATATATTTGGTTTACATTTTGTCACATGTACAAGTTTAAAAACACTACATATAACAGGGGGATTAAAGATTAACATTATATGTGCGTAACAAAAACATTATATATAACAAAATTCTAGGGGAGTTAGGGCATATCAAAATTGCATATGAACCCTTGCCCAGAAATGGAGTTGCATGCCCCTAGAGGAGCTTTCCTATTATGAATTGCTTTGTCTGCTTCTGAACAAGTACTTTTATTTAATTAAATTATATCAATTTTATGCTTCGTTAAAAATAATTTTTGGGCAAAAATTACATTAAAATAAGTTCAATATTAACTATTTTATTGTAATTAAATGACTTGATGAAATTGTAACAACAATTTGATGATTTGGCAAAATTACCCAGCTAGTTGCCAAATCATTTAACTACTATGAAACACTTAATACTGAACTTATTTAAATGTAATTTTTGACAATGATTATAAGAAAATAAAAAATTTATAAGACAGTTTAATTAAATAAATGTACCTGTTTAGAAACACAAGAAGTAACAGCTTACAATAGGGAAGTGCCCCTAGCGGCACATAATGACATTTCCAATGCAATTTTAATATATTAAATAATATTATTAAAATAACAATAGTATAAGCTCAGTATAATAATTATTACTAAAATTACAAACCTTATTTGTGCCAACCTTTTTTATGATATCATACTTCCTTAAGCCACTCTCCACTGTATCTTCATATAGATCTTTAGTTTGCTTATAAATCTGTGTTGAAGATAATTAAACAATAAATATATGACATAAATAGTGAAACACTGGAATAATTGTAAAACAAGTTCGTATCCATTTAAAAATATTTATTGCTTCTAGTTCTGTATTATAAATGGGAGCATTTTTCTTTTCTTTTGTACAAAACAGCTTTTCCCAAACAATTTTCTCAGTTATAAAATGAAATCTCGATCGACAATCAAAAAATAAACTTTGTGACAAAGATACATTCAATCATTGAAAATTTCAAAGCTGAAATCAACTACCAATCAGTGCCAGATTACCCATTAGGCCAGACTAGGCCATGGCCTGGGGCCCCTTAAAACAAATTTTTTGAAAATAGATTTTAAAAAATTAAGAAAAACAATGATTTAAAAAAAAATAAAAAAATTTCAATGTATATATTAATAAAATACAATAATTTTTTTTACATAATGTAAATCATATTTATTTAATACGCATTTATTATTATTTATTTTAATTTTAAATATGCTTTCTTAAATGAAAAGAAGTATAAATACTTTTATATTTGAATAAATAAAAAATATACGAGAAAAAAATTTAATCTAAGGGCCCCAAAAATTTGAATGGTCTAGGGCCCCACGTACGCTTAATCCGGCACTGCTACCAGGAGAGGCTTTTTATTTTGAAGGTCATCCCAAAGAAGATCTAAAAACTTATGAGCACGGACTGACAAATCCTGGGAGCAAAGTCACCAGGTGACAAGAAAAATTATCTCGGCATCTAAGTTTTTTGACATATTATTCTGCTACTTATATTTAAATTATTATAAGCAAGAGGATTTATTAGGGGGAAAAAAGCTATTGCTTCTTCTATGCGGAAAATGGTACCAATCAATATAACATTTTAATGCTGATACTCAAAAGCAATGTTAATGTTTGATGTCCAATTTAAAATTTGCATCAAAGAAAACATTATTAATTAGCCTACTGTGTTTATTCCAAAGTCAATTTGTTTCAATAAATTATGAAAATTACTATTTAAAAGATTTATTTCCTTAAAATTTTTACTGATTTTGATTTTTTAATTTAATATTTAACTCCTTTACAGTGAAAAGACACAGATAGGAATAGTTCTCTAAAAATTGGCCAAGTATGCCAATTATAAGCTAGTTTTTAATTTTGCAGTAAATGAGATAAAGTCACAACTTTAGAAGCTGGCTCCAAAAATATTATGCTTTTTTTTCAGTCTTTGTGTATGTGAATTACATAATCATTAAATCTGAAATGAAAAATATTTTAAACAATTCCAGTTGATGATTTAGAGTGCTTGAATATTGGGTAGATTGTCAGTCTAGTTAAATAACAATTACGTTTGGACACCCTGCATTCCATTTAATTAGCCAATACCGCATAAAAGCAAATATTGCCCGCAAATAAATTTTGAAAAGTAGCCATATTTAGTTTAATTCTATGATTTAAAAAATTATTATATAACTTACACCAAACTCACTCAAAGAACTAAACGGAGGGTTCCCTACCTTTTTTGGATTACTTTTCACTTTCCAAGTCATGCTCTCTTACGAAGAAAAGAAAAAAAGAAACAATAACAAAGAAATAATTGATATTTTTTGGTCTATTTTATGTGTTTCAACACTTTTGTTAATACACTTTCACAATTGCACTGTGTCCTTCAGTTATTGAAAATTTAACTTAAGATTAATTCATTTATATTAGAAACTTTTATGTTAATATAGATCAGTGGTTCTTAATCTTTTTAAGTCGCGACCCAAATTTGAGAAATATGTTCATGTCGCGACCCCCCCAAAAAAAGTCAAAATTAGGCTGAGTAAGCCACAATGACTTCTTATAGGAGGTGTTGGTATTACTTATTATTTGGTGTATTACAAACTTTTTTGGTTCGACTCAGCGCGACCCAAGAAATATGTTTCGCGACCCATAGGTTAAGAGCCGCTGATATGATGAAAACAGTTCAAATGAAACTTTTATGTGTTAGCGTAAATGAATTTAACTTATTACTTTGAAGTTTAACTTAAATAATTAGAGTAACTTAAATAATTAGTTAACTTAAATAATTCTTATATTTTATAAGAAATATTAAATAAATGCTGCTGCTTATGAACGACCTACAATCCATTTAAGGCTGAATGAAAATATACATAAATCAAAATCTAATTGTATAATTATATTTCAAAAGTTAATGATAGGAAATTTGAAAATAATTGTATTTTGATAACAGCGCTAAGAATTATTAGACCTAAGAGAACATATAAATTATAGAAATAAATTAATTTAATGAAATAAAAAACTAATTTATAAAGAGTAAAAAGCAAAAGTAAACAAAAACTTATAGATTTACATTTTTTATTTGTGATTTATTCACATAATAAATTTCAGACCTTTTTTAAAAAAAATATGCATGTTATAATAAGGTTATAGAATAAATTCGCTTTTAAGATGAAATTTAAGGAGGCCATAAGGCCTCAAGAGCTTTTAATTCATACGAAGATAATGGCAAAATTGTTAAAATTCTAAAGCGGGTATTATATTATAATATTTTATTCTCATTGTTAAAAAGCGTTTTTTAAAATAAAATAACTGTTGTAATTACAAATATTATATGNTGAACTACAAAAATCGGATCTATCTGGAGGGCGGGTAAAAAATTCGGAAAATCTTATCTGCTGCGAGTAAAAGGGGAGAAAATAGCTATAAGTAAAAATGAGAGAGGATTGGTAGCTATGTAGTTTGAATTTTGTGTTTCTCTTTGAAAATAGGTGAGCTTTCTGAAAAAGCGGAATACCTATAAAAAAAAAGGTGAAATTTTTAGAAAAATCTGAATTTTTGATAAAAAAGCTGAAATTCAAGAGATAAAAGTGAAAAAAGCGGAAATCAGCTAAAAAGCGGAAAAATCTCATCCCTGTCTATAGTTTATGACACTTTGGAAACGTCTCAACAATCCTGAAATGCACATGAACTTGCGAGCACTTCCATAAGAACTATGCGTAGATGATGATTATTCTTTCTTTTATCTTAGATTATTAAAACATGTCAAATTATATACTATTATTAATATCTTTTTATTAATCACAATTAATGCACCAGAATGGATTTAGGTATGAGTTTTATATTTCATTCCCACTATTTACTTTCACTTTTCCTGTTTTATAGTTTAAAGCAAGTAAAGCATACAATGTTACTAATAAAACAAATATGGTAAGCAAATATTAGCCAAACGTAGAATCATATAATGGTGACATGGTAGTCCAGTGTTTAGAAAATCGACACTGCTCCACAGGGACCGGGGACCGATCTTCAATTTTACTAAGACCTACAGACTACATGGTTGGTTGCAGAGCACTGGAACAGGAATATGGAGAATATTTCCTTCCCCTTCAGATCTATGACTAAATTGTGGAAGTGACCTCATGACACTGCCATCTTTCCGGGAGGTTCTGACCTAAGACATACTGTCACCCTTGCAGTGTTCTTTTGTCAAAATGAAAGCCAACAAGGTCGTACACAAAATTTATAAGACTAAGCAATATCAACAAAACTAAGTAAATGTAAGTCTCAACTAAGCAACCAACTATCTTAACTAAGCATTATCAATGAAAAATAAATCTTTTATCAAAGTTAATTACCCTTTGCTGCTGATAAATAATGTAAGGTACAAATTCCTGTAATGTCTGAAAGCTCCAGCAAGCAATTACATCAGCTGATTTCACTATTCAAAAAATAACATTCTTTGTGTTAAAAATTATAAATAAATATTAACAGAACACATAAAATTAACTTTGTATAGTGTAAATAGTATAATTAGCAAGATAGAATCAGGCAGATAATTTATTCAAAAGAGTATCTCAGCTAATAATAATAATAAACAGCTTTTTTAAAAAATTCACTGAAATTATAAATTTTGCAGTTTTATGTACGGAGAAAAATTTTTAATATTAGGATGATATTGAAAATATATCCAAGGAATCTTATTTCACAACAATTACATGATATTTCAAAACGTCTGCCTTTTGACGCTATATAATGAATCAAAAAAGATATTGGAAAGAATTTTTGGCAAAATTTCTATTTAAGTGTTACTTAAAGGTAGGTACTCTTGGGAATATTTCCGAATTGTGATCTGACATGCCAACTACAATCGCCAAATTATTTTTTAACTGAAAAAAAATTTTTTTTTAATGTAGAGGCTTGCCTGGAAGTGGGTAAGAGTTATACCCCTTAAGTGGGCCCTTTTCTATGATGTTTTTTGTTAGTATCTTGCATAGTGCTGCCCGGAAGTTGGAAGACTTGGCAATTAATCTACCACAGATAACAATACGGAAATCTCCCAGCACTCTTCCCTTCTGTGACATTTTTGGGGATATTTCTAACTACAATTGCCATATAGATTTTTAAGTTTCAATTTAAGAAAAAAAAGTATGCAGATGTTTGCCTGTGAGTGACTACGAGTTATAATTTTCCAGGTGTTCTCTTGCTGTGATTTTTTTTTGTTCCTCACAGGCCCCTGCCCAAAAGTTGTTAAGACTTGGCGATTATTCTGCCACAGATCACAATACGGAAATCTCCCCATGTTTTTATTAACTTCTCGGAAAACAATGCACGGAAAGTCAGCATTTTGGCATAGATCACAATAGAGAAAAATTCCCTAGCATTTTATACATTCTCAATTATGCAATATATATTTGCACCAAGGGAAAATACTTACGCTGTTTTTGAAATCGATTGAAAACAGGTCTAGTGATAAAGTTAGCAACTTTTTCTGTTGTGTTCAAAGAAACCTTCAAAATATTGTTTGATAATTTAACACTATTGTAAGTTTCGGCAGCAATATTCCAGGCAAGGTATACAACAGGAATACTTGTTGATACCCGATGAATAAATTCACTCTTAGGTTCATTATTTGATTCCAAATCTTGAACCATTCTTAAATGACGCCGATACATGAATAAAAATTTTTTTAAAAGAAGAATTTTAAATATATTTTTAAAGATAAATATTAACTACCAAATACATGAATCTTGCAAGAAACACTGGTATTTTCCTTAAAACAATTTTTATCCTATAATTATATGAAATGAAATTTAAATTGACGTCATAATAAAACAACTTCCTTAAATGACATCAGGTTTTATCCTTTTTACTAAAAATTATCCAAATTATCACTTCGATAAAAACAAAAATATTCGTAGTTTCCAACTTTTCAGGTTTTTTCAACTTTCAAGTTTAATCAGTTATTTTATTAATCCTAAAATTTTATAACCTTTCACGAACTTTAAACTTATGATTTTGATTCCATTTGATTGGATACATTCGGCTTTTCCGAATCTCGCCAGTTGTTTTGGTTGCGAGATAGAGAGGGGGGGAGGGAACATTTGACATGTGTTAAAATAGAGAAAAGAAAAGGACACACTCGTGTTCTAATAGGTTCATTAACAACACACAGAAGTCTTTTTAAATACGTCCTGCCATCTAGTGAAGAACATAAAACATAAGAATTGATCGTTATTTATTATTTGAAACTGACCCTTTAAAAAAATTAAGTGTTTTTTTTTTTCACATTTCCACTGATCTTCTAGGTAACCTTTACATCTGGAGGATTGAATTAAATAAAATATCAAATAAAATTATCGAAAAAAAAGAAACGATCTGTCATCTTTAGTTAAGTTTTTATGTGATTAAGCTGCCATCTATCATCTACATTTAAGACTATGAAATCTCAACATGCATGAATATGTTTTCAAAAATATTTGAAAGATGTGCTATTCCTTTTTTCCATTCTTCTCTATTCTGCCGATTTATTCATATTTTCTCCCGTGTTATAGTTTATAATGTTTATTTATTGTAATCAATTTATGGGTTAAAAGTTATTGTTATAAATGGCAAGTAAAGACACAAAATCCCTTTTAAAGCAAGCCCGTGAAGCTATTAAGGAGAAAGATTTCAAATCTGCTTTAAAATTTTGCAAGGTAATTCATATTGTTACTTTGTTTTTATTTTCTAAAAAAATTATACTAAATAGCTATGATGATTTTTCAACTGCAAGTTTCTGATTCCTTTAATTTCTTCACTTTAATTTTGTGTCCAAATATGTTTACTATGCAGTATCCTCACTGCATTATTTCATGTCTACTGCATAAAAGACAGGATTGGACTTCGTGATCGGGTCTAAACCTGTAACTATATGTGAATTATTTTAAGTTTCATAATTGGTTTTTATACTCTGGTATATCATAGCTAAAAACTAAAATATAGAAAATGCCTTAATAAAATTAATTTTTGTTTCATTCCAAGTAAGGGGAGATACAATAAAAGAGCTCAAATAGCATATTTTCTTTATGGCAGCATACATGCTAGAAGGAAAGGAAAAAATTGCAATTTTTTTTTTTGTTCAGCATTATATTAAATGTTACTAGTTTATTAATTATTTTAAAAAAATTATATGTAAACCGATGTATGTTACAATATACTTTTGTCACTAATTTTCTGAAAATATGATGAATTAATAATTATTCAAGTAAAAAAAAGAGTGATTGCATGACACAGAATAACTGCTGTGATAGAATAATTGCCAAGTCAGGGCAACTTCTGGGCAGTGGCCCAGGATAACTTAAGGGAGTGATTTCTACATCCATACATGTGTCAACGAATTTGTCAAATTTTGGTGATGAACTACAATTATTTGGAATTTTAGTCAATTAAAAAAAAAAATTGGCACCCTGGTGGTGGTAGTTTGAGAAAACAGGTACCTATGCAAAAATATCTTATATGTTGCATTCATTTAACAGAATGTTTAATAATTTAAAGCTTTAATTTACATGGTAAGTAAAACGAAATTATACACATATTAATTCATCTTAAAATTGGGGCCTTATAATAAAATTTAATCCTTTAAGACTTATTCAGAGCAAGTGGCGGGCAGAGGCTTACGTGCCCCCTCCCATGCAAGATTAAGTGTGCCCTATTTTAGACTTACCAAGAAAAGAAAAAAAATATTTAAAACTATCATATGAAACATAAAAACTAATGATACAGAATAAAGCAAAATTAAATTATTCAAATGGCCAATCTTTTTTTTCTTTCTTATTGACTACATTAGCGACAAGAAAATTAACTGAGGCAATAAAAATTCTATTAAAAAATAAAAGACTTTAAAAAAGAAACATTTCAATAAAAATGAAATATATTTAATTATAGAATCTAAAAAAACATCAAACGTTGCTTCAAGTTTTTCCTTTTATTGCTGCTATAGTCTAAGAAGTTATCACAAATTAATCCCAGCCTATTTTTTTTTCTTATCCTCAAAGACGACGAGAGATCTACTATTTTCATCCTCTAGTTTTAATCTGCATATTAGAAAATAGTTAAATTTGTAGTAAATTTGTATTTTGATTTGAAATTTTCAATGGGAAAAAACTTAATCATAAAAAATCATTAAGATTTGCCTTTGACTGAGACTTTTGAAATTTGGCTAATACTTTTAATATTTGGCTCATTTACTGGCTAATAATTTGAAGTCCTTCTTGCGGGCCTGCTTACTTTTAATAACTTATAAGACTAACTGCCCAGTTAAATAGGAAAATTTAATCATATTTTAAGACTATATTTTGGTTAATTTGACTTTTTTAAAAGAAAAATTACCTTCCTATTTGAGTTTAAATTAAAGTGTCAACTGTTTTATAGGGTGAACCTTAAGTAAATCTTAATTTGCTACAAATAATCCAATTAACATTTTAGGTTGTTCTGCAGTCTGAAAAAGATAATTACAATGCTTGGGTTTTTGTGGGAGTGGCTGCTCAAGAGATAGATCAACCTGATCAATCAGTTGCTGCTTTCAAGAGGGCCATCGAAATATCTCCGAAGCAACCATTAGCTTGGCAGGTACATTGTTTCCTCCTTCTTTATTTGTGCTACAATAGAAAAATAATCTAAATTAAATGCAGTTTAGAATGCAACTCTCCATAAACTGCATTTACTTAACTATCTCTTCTAAATCAAAACAAGAATGTTTAAGTTTGTTTATTTATGTATTTATTTATTGAAAATCATAAATTCTATGATTTTTTGGGATTTTTCATGCATATTTTTGGATTTTAAACTAAAGGTATTTCAAAATTGTTTTGGTATTAATCAGTGATTTGTAAGGTTTTGGAAGCAGCAGGTTCTTATGCCCCAGAATTTCCAAATTTCTTGAGAAATTTTTTTCATAGTGAAAGCAGGTCCCTAATTAAAATAATATAAATCTCCCATTTAAGATATAGTGCATAAAAATGGAATATTTTATGATTACGAAAGCAATGTGATTAGTAGACAATGGGCATACACTAAAAAAAGGGACAAAATATGCTCCAAAACACTTCAAAATATGCACTTAAAACTAGAAATATGCATTTAAAATCGTTCAAGCTTATTTAAGTACTACTACTTACCTTTCCTAGCAAAACCAGGTTTTTTGTTAATCTGAGCAGAATCAAAATTTCTTACCAGAATTTGCATAATTTTAACTTGAAAAATAGCCTAAAATGGCACCATGATAAGAAAAAATTATTGCATTCTAAGGAAGGTTGTAGCCTTAATATTTGAATAAAATAATTCCTGTTCTATTAAAATAAAATTTGCTTTTTTTGCCTCTCAAAACTCATTTAATTCTTTAAATATTTTTTCTTTATTTCTTTTCATAGCATTATTTCTTCAATTCGCCACACAGCCAAAAATTTATTTGTAAAATAGGGTACCTTTTGAAAACTCAAAATGTATCACATGTACTCTCTACTTTCTTTCTTTTTTTAGGGGCTCTGCAGCTTTTATGAAAAGAATGAATCTCCAGAAAATATTCCGAAACTTGTATCTGTTTATAAGGAATTATTAGAGTTATCTTCTCCGTAAGTCATGTTTTGAAAATATGTTTTTAATGTATCTGTAACTGGCAAATTGCAGATACATTTAAAACACTATTACATATTTGTCGGACTATTATATATAAATTATTATAATGGGAGGGATACTTTGATTGCGGTTTAGATACTATTCTGTTTTGTAGGGCTAAAATTGCCGCACTTCAGTAGAAAGTCCAAAATCCAGAAGACTTTTAGACTTCTGGAAAATACATTTTTCCAGATAATAAATCTTTTAAGTAAACATCACAACCTACGCAGGGCCCGTGCTAAGGATTTCAAATTATTATTCAGTAAATTAGCTAAATATCAGAAGTTTTAGCCAATTTTCGAAAGTCTTCACCAAATGCAAATCTTAACAATTTTTTTATGATTATTATTTTTTCCCATATGAAACTATTTTACTGTTGTTTGTTTCAGACTTGCATTATTTAAATCAGTACTGATTGGTTATGCAGCGGATCTACCGAAAATTACTGTAATCGAATAAAAAATACTGTTGTTGTTTTTTTTTAGAAAAATTCATGTCTACATTATTTTGAGAATCGAGTTAAATTTATTTTTTCTTTCCTGATAAAAAAATTATTTGCCAAATTTACGATTTTATCGTTTTTAGCGAGGTCGTGAAAGCTTTGCTCAGGCCCTGATTCAGTGTTCTCTCCTATCTTTTATCTGATAGTTTTCTACTTAACATTACAGTTGTTTATATGTAAGTTTATTCATCATATCATTGTCACCTACTCATATTTTATTCTTATTTTAGGGATAAAAAGTTAGATATTTTTGACAAGTTAATCCCTCTTTTAAGAAAGCTGAATGATAAAGAAAAGGTATTTTTCCTTTCATTTTTCTCTATTTACAGTTAACAATGAAAAAAAAGTTCTTTTCATTTAATGTTTAGATACTTTGTTTAGAATTTCACCCAAGATGTACTAATTAGGGTACCACACTGGGCAGGCCACTAAGAGCTATTTTAACAATTTTCCTAACTTAAATAAATTTTAACTTAATATTGCCAACTAAATTTTTTGTATTCAGTTTGGAAATTAGTTTACCTTTTGCTTCAGTTATAAACCTGAAAGTTCCCAAAACCTTAACCCTTTTTAGACCAAGGATAGAAATTGTATAAAATGTGGTATTTTTTTCCTTGAAGTATGTTTAAATCACAATCATTAAGACAAAAAATAAGTTTCGTGTTTAAAAAGTAATATTTTATTTAAGGAAGAAAATGGTGCATATACGCAACCATTGGCCAGATCAATAAACAATTTGTTTAGTTCAACTGTTATATTTAATAGAAACATTTCGAATGCAAATGGGCTTTGCATTTGATGCATAAATAAATCATGTGGTTTTTGTGCACTTTGCTGGCTTTTTTTTATCGTGCTCACTTATTGCATGTCCAATTCTATCAGTCTGTACTTTTTTTGGTAGAGCTGCGGATGATGAGCAACCTTTGTTAGGATGGGTACCTTGTAATGTTTGTTCACCAGATGGATTGTTCTTTTATTCAGATTTTGATAGGGCAATTGCTGTATTAGATCTAAAGTCTATAAATGATATTTTTGAGCTAGTTGAAATACTATGTAGCTTCCAGAAATTTACTGTAATCCTATCAATGATGTTTGTAAATATTGGCCACCACCATTTCTTACCTTTTATTTTGATGCGGTATTTAGCTATGGCATTGTCATATAGGTCTGCACCTCCCATATGCTTATTGTAATCCTAAATAACCTTAAGTTGTGGGATCACAACTTCTTTCTTTGCGACTGTATCGTTTGGCAAAACGGTATCGTTATTAGTAACAATTGTTACCACAGCACAACTTAAGGAATTGAAATTAATAAATACAAAAATTGACGTGTGTTTTTTTAATAAAGACACATTTTGCAAAGTAGCACATATTTTAACAGAAAAATTTTGTCAGAATTTTTTATAGTAAAAATTTCTCCCGAGCTAGTAACCCGAATTTCCCCCTAATCCTTGTGTGTGGGATCAGACATATTCTGTTCTGCATATAAATAATATAACATCAAATGATGAGAATCAAGCTTGACAAATTTATAAGTTGAAATCTGACTATTATTAGCGACCACTTTAGTTTTACTTAATCTAAAAAATCTGCTTAAATTATGGCATAAAAGAATTAAAATCAATATTTAGATTGATAATAATTAATAACTCATAGTTATTACTTGCAATATAGACCGAATATTTGTAATATAGCAAATAATATTAACCTTAAAGTATTAAGAGAACCGTGTTTTTGGAAAAAACTATTAATAATTTTAGCTATAATTTTGTATATATGATATATAATGTAAATCTTAATTATAGTAGTACATGATACAAGTATTGTGCATTATTTAATATCTAATAAAATTTCCCCAATGACAGAAAAGATAATATAAAAAACCAACTTTTGACGTCAAAACCCCAACCCTGATTGACAATTGAGGGTTATTATTTATGAGTCAAATTTAAATTATTAGGTGCAAATTACAAGTTACAACCGCTTATTTCGAACCCTTGCTGAAAAAAAGATGCTTTTTTTTGGATTTAAGACTAAATAAATAAAAATCAAACTTATGTAATGACTGTTCTCATTGAGACTAAAGATGATTGTTATACTTATGTTGCTATTCAGCTAATATGATATACAAATCTAACTATGTTAGTGCTAAAAACACCTTTTATTAAGAACTATAGTACAGATCGTTTAATTTTTTTTTCTGAGCCAGTAATGTAATCTATAATTTTTGGTGTTAGATTGTATAGTTCTTTGTTAAACATATTGCGCTTACAATACTAGGTTATAAAAACATTGAAACTAAAGCTGGAACTTGTGAAAGGAACGAAGGAAGAGAATGCCATCTATAGAAGTATATTCAGTGAATTGACTGGTATTACAAAGCTCACAACTGTTGACATGGAAACAGTATGTTTTTCTCACTTCTTCCAAATGTTATTTTCTCAAATTTAAGAATTTATTTTATAGTATAGAATATAATCTATCAGGGTGCGTAGCGTTTTTAAGAAGTGCTTAAAGGTGCTTATTTTTGCTTTTCGTTTTTTAAAAGCCCTTAAAGGTGCTTTTTTCATTGGGTGTTTTAAAGAAGTGCTTAATTTTCCCTTTTTGAAAATGAGATTTTTCCTTTACCATCTTGATTTTTGCTACGAATTATGCAAAAAGACACAGTTTACATTGTTCTATTCAACGTTTTCTCAATTAACTGAACCCCGATGTATTTCAGCATGTTGTCAGTCCATAGCATATGAAAACGGCGTTCATTTTACACGATTCAGAATTTCGTGACTTTTGATAATTGTTAAAAACAATCCATAAGTTTTTTATTTTATTTTGACATGACAGTTAAAACAAGATAAAACCATCAATTGTGAAAAACTTCCCAACCTTGCCTAATTATGAAATATTTTTTAAGTGCTTAAAAGGTGCTTATTTTTTGTTGAATAATTTGGTTGCGCACCCTGTCTATAGTTTCAAATGTGTTTTCTTAGTAGTATTAGGTTGTTAAAAGTTTTAACTTTATATTTAATTGCAATTTTATTGCATAGCTGACAAATGAACTTTTACCATAACATGCTAAGTGGTAAAAAAGCTTGACTATTTAAATTGGTATTTTGGTAAGAGAAAGGAAAACAATACTTTTAAAAAGGTGGATAAAATAGCTAAAATATTTATACTAACAGTTAACAAAAAGATAAAATATTGATAAGACTAATCAGTAACTATACCTGGTAGCAGAATTTAATGACTCAATCTGCAGCAAAATTTTTATAAATTCTATAATATTCTGTGATCCCAAGTCAACAATTTTTTAAACAAAGCACAAATATAAAATAGTGAACAAAAAATATTATGACCTTTAAAATAATTTGAAATCTATATGCATATTCCTACGATTTTAATTGATTTTTATTTATTTCTTTTTTTTTAACTTTATAAAAAAAGCAAATTGAAGTTCTTCAGAGGTTAGTGGATCTTGATGAGTTTTCTGAAGATGATTGTCAAAGAATTATTTCTGACTGCGTCAACCCCTTGTACAAAGTAAGTATAAGTTATTTTCTCTTCTTTTTAATTACAAGTTCTTCATAAGTTTGTAGGATCAGGTGTTAAAGTAGCCTACTTCAAATAAAAACATGTAGCTTTTTAACTATTATGTATTGATATTATTTTCAATAACTATGCTTTATTTTCATAACTGTTGTTGAACAGCTGACCCAATTTTGAGTTTACGACTACTAATGTTCAACTATCTAGCCTTGTAATTTTGCATCCAATCCAGAAGACTGGAGAATCAGTTCAGAAGACTCTTGGATCAAGACAGAAATTTGACTCATGAACTGTCTATCACTGAAGATATTTTACGTCAGTGCGAGCCAGGTGCGGACTTTGTATTGACCAGCCATCACTGAGATTTGAACCTCATTAGGAAGCAGGCGCTCTATTCCCTGAGCCACTCTGGCTCTATCAATAACTATGAACTAAAATTAGTGCCTGAAGAAATATACTTAATGGTAACATATTAAAAAAATAACAGCCATCCTTTCTGCAGTATCATTGAGGCTCAAAAATGACATTGCTTTGTATACTTAGGTATCATTAAAATTTTAATCAGGCCTTAGCCTAACTTGCCTAGCCTTTAAAGATTGAGGACTCCCTCAAATTTTGACAAAAATCACTGTTATTAATTAAAGAGAATTTGGGATTCCTAAGAAGGAAAAAAAAGAAAAATCAATTATATTTTAGAAGACTTAAATGCCGAATTTAATTATGTAACTAAAAATTTGTTAAAAAGTAAATTAGCTTATTTTTTATTATTTTTCTTGTAAAACTTATTTTTGTTTATTAAAAAAACGTTTACTTCAATATTGGATTCATAGCAACAATTAGTATAAAAGCTGATTTTACTATGTATAAACAAATGTAAAAACAGCTTGTGTCAAGAAAGAAATAAAATCGGATGGAATAAAGAAATAAATAGCAATGAAAAGTAATGGTCTGTAGTTTTTTTTATAGACAATATTGCTATAATAGCTAATGCATAAGCTTAGCACATCTTAAATTGGTTTCGTTTAAACATAAAAGACATATAAATTAATGGAGTACCTTAGCTCAGGGTGCAAAATTATGGTTTAAGCCTTGCAAGTAAGTTTTATTTTGTAAAATGTTGAGTTTTAAATTAAACTATAAACACTTTGATTATGTGCCTCAGTAAAATGATGTGGGGACGAACTTTGATATCAAGCTATTATATTTTACTTCTATTTCGAACAAAAAATGCCAGTTCACCCCCACTTTTCAGCCCCCAAACCATTACTTTTAGAAACATTGAAACCTGAAACAACCTTATTTTGATTCAATATAATTGTTGCTATAAACATGTTTTGATTTTTTAAGTTTAACTGTGTTCTTTAATGGCTTTTGGTTTCAAAAAAAGTTCTTTATGCTGCATCCGCCCAAATTTTAATTAGTATTCATATTTTTCGCAAAATTTTAGTCCAGCTAGTATCTGTATAACNAAAAAAAAAAAAAAAAAAAAAAAAAAAAAAAAAAAAAAAAAAAAAAAAAAAAAAAAAGAACATTTTCTACAGAAACAAAAAATTTCTGCAGAAGCAATAATGGTTCTGCAAATTTTTTTTCTTATTACAGAATTGTTTTAAATATTTTTTTTCTAGCGTACCGCGGAAGGAGAAAGCGCTCGTAATTCTACGTTAATCTCCAACACAAGCAGTTACTGAATAAAAAGGGGAGAATTTTTTTCCCCTTTATTAAGCTATTTTTGGAAATTTGACAACTTCGGCCTCTATCGCTGGCGCAGTAATTTGCTTTGTGTTTTCTTATGAGAACAGAGCATTTTATATTTTTTGCACTTATGTGGAAAATTTCATGCGTAAAAAGATTCTTTTTTTTAAAAAAATCACGTCTAGCGAAAAGGTTATTTGTTGCAATTGTGAAGCCACAATAGTTAAAACAAATTTGAAAACTGATTTTTCAAGGCGGCATTCAGAAAAAGAAATAAGATGGAAGTCGACAACATCTAGCGATGTCAGATTTTTTTTCTGGAAAGCGACAGGAAAAGAAGCTTCCCACGCTACTAATATTGGAAAAAAAAACGTTTTGAATTCAAATAAAACATTCTTACTAGTAGCGATATCGATAGTAAGGATGAGACAGCATTTCCAACAAATCAAGAAATTTTAGAAGCAGTCAAAGGTAAAAAGTAAAAAATAACTATATATATATTTATTTTTTTTAAAGATAAAATGCCTATATCCTTTGAATTAAATCGTCGATAAAAAAAAAACACTCGCAATCTAACGATAAATGAAATAAAGCCTGAAAGATATCTCACTATCTACGATTTTTTGGCATGCGAATGAAAACCAGATTGGTGGAAAATATTTACTGGTGAAACACTTTCAAACAGGTTTCCATACGCATGCGGAAAAAATCGCATCCAATGAGTATGGCTCTAATACCAATGTTTCAGTACTGATAAAGACTATTTCGTTTCGAGATGTTGAATAGACTTGAGCATATTGAGTCGGAAACTGCTTCTGCATACTTCGTGTGGAATCAGTGCTATATATTTACACAATACAGTGCGAAATCAAAAGCACTGTGTATTTTTTTCGTTCTGAACTTAATCTGATCACGAAAAAAGTTTTATTTACCTCCTTTTTTTTATAAATTTTNGTGTTTTCTTAGTAGTATTAGGTTGTTAAAAGTTTTAACTTTATATTTAATTGCAATTTTATTGCATAGCTGACAAATGAACTTTTACCATAACATGCTAAGTGGTAAAAAAGCTTGACTATTTAAATTGGTATTTTGGTAAGAGAAAGGAAAACAATACTTTTAAAAAGGTGGATAAAATAGCTAAAATATTTATACTAACAGTTAACAAAAAGATAAAATATTGATAAGATTAATCAGTAACTATACCTGGTAGCAGAATTTAATGACTCAATCTGCAGCGAAATTTTTATAAATTCTGTAATATTCTGTGATCCCAAGTCAACAATTTTTTAAACAAAGCACAAATATAAAATAGTGAACAAAAAATATTATGACCTTTAAAATAATTTGAAATCTATATGCATTCCTACGATTTAATTGATTTTTATTTATTTCTTTTTTTTTTTTACTTTATAAATAAAGCAAATTGAAGTTCTTCAGAAGTTAGTGGATCTTGATGAGTTTTCTGAAGATGATTGTCAAAGAATTATTTCTGACTGCGTCAACCCCTTGTACAAAGTAAGTATAAGTTATTTTCTCTTCTTTTTAATTACAAGTTCTTCATAAGTTTGTAGGATCAGGTGTTAAAGTAGCCTACTTCAAATAAAAACATGTAGCTTTTTAACTATTATGTATTGATATTATTTTCAATAACTATGCTTTATTTTCATAACTGTTGTTGAACAGCTGACCCAATTTTGAGTTTACGACTACTAATGTTCAACTATCTAGCCTTGTAATTTTGCATCCAATCCAGAAGACTGGAGAATCAGTTCAGAAGACTCTTGGATCAAGACAGAAATTTGACTCATGAACTGTCTATCACTGAAGATATTTTACGTCAGTGCGAGCCAGGTGCGGACTTTGTATTGACCAGCCATCACTGAGATTTGAACCTCATTAGGAAGCAGGCGCTCTATTCCCTGAGCCACTCTGGCTCTATCAATAACTATGAACTAAAATTAGTGCCTGAAGAAATATACTTAATGGTAACATATTAAAAAAATAACAGCCATCCTTTCTGCAGTATCATTGAGGCTCAAAAATGACATTGCTTTGTATACTTAGGTATCATTAAAATTTTAATCAGGCCTTAGCCTAACTTGCCTAGCCTTTAAAGATTGAGGACTCCCTCAAATTTTGACAAAAATCACTGTTATTAATTAAAGAGAATTTGGGATTCCTAAGAAGGAAAAAAAAGAAAAATCAATTATATTTTAGAAGACTTAAATGCCGAATTTAATTATGTAACTAAAAATTTGTTAAAAAGTAAATTAGCTTATTTTTTATTATTTTTCTTGTAAAACTTATTTTTGTTTATTAAAAAAACGTTTACTTCAATATTGGATTCATAGCAACAATTAGTATAAAAGCTGATTTTACTATGTATAAACAAAAGTAAAAACAGTTCGTGTTAAGAAAGAAATGAAATTGGATGGAATAAAAGAAATAAATAGCAATAAAAAATAATGGTCTGTAGTTTTGTTATAGACAATATTGCTATAATAGCTAATGCATAAGCTTAGCACATCTTAAATTGGTTTCGTTTAAACATAAAAGACATATAAATTAATGGAATACCTTAGCCCAGGGTGCAGAATTATGGTTTAAGGCTTGCAAGTAAGTTTTATTTTGTAAAATGTTGACTTTTAAATTAAACTATAAACACTTTGATTATTGTGCCTCAGTAAAATGATGTGGGGACGAACTTTGATACCAAGCTATTATATTTTACTTCTATTTTGAACAAAAAATGCCAGTTCACCCCCACTTTTCAGCCCCAAACCATTACTTTTAGAAACATTGAAACCTTAAACAACCTTATTTTGATTTAATATAATTGTTGCTATAAACATGTTTTGATTTTTTAAGTTTAACTGTGTTCTTTAATGGCTTTTGGTTTCAAAAAAAGTTCTTTATGCTGCATCCGCCCAAATTTTAATTAGTATTCATATTTTTCGCAAAATTTTAGTCCAGCTAGTATCTGTATAACAGAAATTTCATTCCCTAACCTACCAATATTCAGAAAATAGTATCCCAAATACAAATTAGTCAATAAAAACACATATGAATTTTAATCTAACACAGATTTTACAATACTACTGCATCTTGTAAGATCATGGAGATTTTCTCAGGTATTTGTAATTTTTAAAAAATAGTTACAGCAAATGACTTTTTGCATGTCACAGAGTCTAAAAATAAAATAAAAATAGGAATAAAAGAGAATTGCATTACTTTAAAAAATTGTAATTCCAAAAAAATAATAGATTAGCTTATCTGTGGAATGTACAAGGTTCTCTTTTAACAATTTTTTCTGCCCAACCAAATGCAGTGCAGTAAACCACCATATTCTAAGATGTTTGGCATACGATTCAGGTATCGATTTTCTTTTATTGAAATAACTAGTGAAACGGAAGGTAGGAATGTCATATATTGATTCGCCATCCAGTCATGTGGTTTCATTCTAAGGATAAAAATTTTCATGTTAACGATAAAAAAAAAATTGTGTCCATTCTTCTTTTACATTTCACCCATGGGTATGGTTGGCGAGGGTTGTCTGCCCCCTTCATTTATTAATGTTCTCTACAAGTCCAAAGTATTTCAGACCATCAAAGAAAATTTTCATTCATTATTTTTGATTTAAACTTATCAAAGGTACAAACAAGAAAAAGATAAAAAAAATTTATGGGAGTTTATCAGATTTAAGAATTTTTTTTGTATTAAGAGTGAAATTTAGACAACTAGTGCAACGGTATATTTTAATTTTGTTCCCCTCAAAAATTGGACACTTGCGATACTCATGATTTCACCTCTATCATTTTTCCATGTCTTTTGTTTTGTTTAAATCTCTAGCTACTACAAAAACTTTCTCTAAATAGGTTAACAATTAAATTTGATATTGTTTACCCCCCATGAAATAGCATTTGAGTGTAAAAAAAGGATTATTAATAACGCAATGATAACTACTTTATTATTACTATATTCTAAAACCTTAACACATAGATGCATATATATATATATATATAGAAATATNTATATATATTTGAATTTATTTCTGATTTACTTTAGGAGGGTGAAGAAAGCCATTCTCTGAAATTAGCTTTTATAATTTTCCGAAAACACCCAAACAATTTGGCTTGTTTAGAGTTTATCAGCAGAGCAGCCATGAATTTCTATATTGGTAAGCTTGATATCAGTAAATCTTGAATTATTAATCTTTTTGAATTATTTAAGTTATCAGTAACTGTTAATCCCTGTTATTATGTTTGTTATCTGTAACCCAGTCCTGATTTAGAAATCTGGAGGCTGGGGACAGAAATGTCAGAAGCCCCATCAGTCGCAACTTTAAACCAAATTTTAATGTTGTTTACTTACAAAATATCTTTAAAATATTTATAGCATAAGTTTCTTGTAATGTGTTAGTAATTTTGAGGTTATATTTTTTTTAAAATTTTCGTAATTCTAATAGATAATTCACTTTAAAAAAGGTACTTGTAATATTTAGGCAGGGCTCAAAGTTGTCCTTAAATGACTTAATTTCATTAAAAAAAGGGGGGAAAAGTGTCCATAAATGTCCTTTATTATTTAAAATTTCCATAAATGTCCTTCATTTTTGTATTTTCTATTGTTGAAGTTAACTGCAATAATAAATATTGTTTATCTCAAAAAAAATTTAAAGAAATTTCAAATTCAGAAATTTTGTTATATGCACACAGTTATATGCACACATAATAAATTAATTTGTATAATTGTTATATGCACACATAACAAAATGAATGTCTAAGTCTTCATAGGGTGTCAAGTACTTCTGTTGTTAGAGACCCCTTGACTTGATGGTATAGAACATTCCATGTGGGAGAAATGTATAAAAATCTCTCTTTTCTCGCTCCATCTCTATATCATACTCTACTGATTTTCTACGAAAGAATACTCCTATTTTGCTACTACAGTAGGGAACCGATTATCCTGAACGATCAGGACCATCGCTATTCCGGATAACTGATTTTTCCGGTTTTCTGAATCGCTACAAAAAGTCGTTTTTTTATTGTTAAACCCAACTAAAAAAAAAAAAAAAACGGAAATAATCTTAAAAAGAAGAAAAAACGATGAAGTAATACACTAATGATTATTTCCAAAATGATGGTAAGGTAAACATCTTTCAAAAAAGTAAGGAAAATCCTAAAATCTTATGAGGAGGAAAAAAAATTTTTTTAAAGGGGGGGGGGAATTTATCGAATTTCGTTCCGGTTTTTTGGTTTTCCGGTTTTCTGAATTCCGGATAACGGGTTCTGTACTGTACTTAATGATAGCACCAGTAATAGATAATACCAGTAGTATCCTTTACTAAGATTAATGAAGCCTCTTTGGCATCAATTATGGTTGATGACTTTTTATGGTTCTATATAACAAATAAATGTTTATCCGTTAATTTTGCAATTTTTGTTTCAATTACTGTCGATTTTAAATTTTTATTTTTATGGAAACACATTTTAAGAGCCTAACTATAAACAAAACAAACATCTGGTTTCAAATAACTTAAGAAATACAATGTCAGTGACATACACTCACGTGCCATCCATGTTGATCATCATGATTGCTTGTCAAAAAGAATTTTAAAAAAATAAATATTAAAGAATGTTTTAAAGCATCTTTTTTTAATTTAATAAAACTAAGTTAGCAAACATTTCTGATATTATCTTTTTAATATTTGAAAAAACAGCATCACAACTCAATTCAACAATGCCTAATCCTAAACTAATGAGAGAAATAAATTGTTCAAACATTTGTTCTGATTGATTTAATAGAAATTTTTGAAGGATTTTTAAGATCCAAAGGAAGCTAAAATTACAGCTTTCACATTCTGCCCAAATTTCAAGACCCTAGCACAAATGTTGGTTTGGTGTTAAAAGTAATGAGCCACTCTAACAAATTCTTCACTTTGTTATTTTAGATGTGAACTCTTGTAAAATATTTTTTAAGAATTTTAAATTATTTATATTTAGAGAAAGATTTGCCTTTGAATGGATTGGAAAATATTTCTGAAAAAATAAAGAGTTATGAAAAGATGAATTCTAAAGGTTTGCCTCAGATATTTGAAGGATTCTGCTCTTTTGTTTCCAAGAACTATTTTCAAGCCATACAAAAATTAAAAGAAGGTACGTACAATCAATTAAAGTGCTTTATACATATATTCAGTCGGACAATCGGATATATATATACACAGTCATACTTCTATTTATCGAACTTTTCTTTGAGATCCACTTTCCCTATTTCTCAAAATGTTTCAGAATATTTCAAACTTGTTAATGCATTTTATGAGGAAAATGACCTTGAGTTGATTTTTGCAGCCTTTTTTAAGGAAAGCTGTAAAATCCATTTCCCTTTTTGTTTGCATTTCATACAGAAATCCATGCCAAAAATCAATTTACAAGAAAGCATAACAGAAATTTCTAAAGCATGGAACTGTGATGTGACAGTTCGTACTATTCGTAACAGTTTTGCTTAGGCTGGATTCTTAGTCAGCGGGGAAAATTTGGAAAGTACGGGGACAAGGATGATATTCCTTTCGAAGAACTATTAAAAAATGTGGGTTCAGCTAAGAGAGAATGACGAAATTAACGATGATGTACTAATTAATGACTTTCTTTTTTTTTTATTCTGAAGCTGCAACCACAGAAACATTAACTGAATAATAATGAAATATTAAAAAATAAAAATAAATAAAAACAATGCAGCTATAAATTGTGTGGAAGATGAAGACGGAAATGAAGAAATCACCAAAACTTCATATGATGAAATGTTAAAATCATTGAAACAATTCTATGATTTTGAAACAATTCTATAGTAAATAATAATTTACAAGATAAGGGGTACATCAATTGCTATTGTTTATGAATTTAAAACATGTTTTGTGTTGCTTAAGTATTTCAAATGGTGATTTTCTATTTAAAGAATTTTCCACATAATGAATTTTTTATTGGGTTTTGGCGACTTCATTAAATAGAGGTCCGACTGTATGTGTATATATATATGTAACAATGTTACTAGCTAGTTTAGTAGGTGATACTAATGTCTACTTGCATATATATACAAAATCTTAATTTTAAATTTTCAAAAACATAAATTAAATGAATCTGCAGCATTTCTCTTATTGTACATATTTTTATCACAATTTCTGTAACATATTATGCCCATAATTTCTATGAATATTTTTAGACTTGCTTTTATGCAAAATTCTGATTATGCTACTGCATTTAGCTTAGCTTTAGACTTTATTATAAAATATATAAATACATAATGTACATAATATATTTAAGTACATCATTTAAAAAAAAAACTTTTTTTTTCCTTGAAACTGACACTTTTATACTATTTCATTTTATTAGGTCTGAGTAAAATGGAATATTGTGTGCAAGGTTGGTATTTTTTGTCAAAATCTCAGTTGAAGTTGCATCAATATAGTGATGCAGAAGTCAGTGCTACAACAGGTAAATAGTTATTTTATAAATCAGTGTTTGTTTGGTTTTGTCTGTGTTACAAAAAAAAATCATTAGCTTTTTTTTGTGTTTACAACAGCTATTACAGTTGGTAGAAAATCTAAAGTGTCTTCTAAGTGGATTGGAAAGTTTTATTTGAATTTAGGTCAAGTGCTCTTAGGAAGACAGAATTGGGATGGAACAATAGGAGCTTTAGAAAAAGTATTCTTCTTCTTTGCCTGCTGTTTTTTTTTTTATTGTTTTAAAAATCACTGTCTTTTTCTTTTATTGTAATTAAAATATTAAAATTGTTTATATTTCAATGACACATACATATATTGTTGTTGTAGTTAATTTACATTGCACTAGAGCTGCACAATGGGCTATAGGTGACAGTCTGGGAAACATCCGTGAGGATGATCCGAAGACATGCCACCACAATTTTGATCCTCTACAGATCCTTTGCATCTCCACTTTGATAGCCCTACGATCTGCATGCGAAGTGGAGCACTTTATGGTAGAACAGTTTAACGAGGACCTATACCGCACACCCTTTGTCGCTACACAGACTGATCCAAGTGCTCACCCACCAGCACTCTGATCCCAGCCAGTGGTGCTTGACTTCAGTGATCTACTGGGAACAGTGTCTTAACAATCAGTCCACTGCCTGATATACACTGCTGGACAATTGCTAAGGACGGATAACACTATCATCCATAGCAACCACAAAATGAAAGGAAGGTGGAAAATTAGAATAAGTGCGGGATATAGTAAGAAGAGGTATGCGTATGCAAATTTTTTTTCCACGTCTGTTCGCTAGCGCTGATAAGAGCTTTAAAAGTTTTGACGCGTGTGGAGAGTTGTTATTTCAAGTCAAAGTTTTACAGGAAAGATTTATTTGACGAACTTGAAATTTTCGGCATGTCTTCCCGATATCACTTAGATGATTTTAAGCGTGGCCGACTTATTGGAATAATTGAAGAAGGGGGGAAAATAACAGATGTTTCCAGGGAGTTCGACATCGCTCACAGCGTTGTTTCACAGCTGCGGAAATCATTTAAAACTACTGGAATGTGTAGTAGGCGGCATGGGGGAGGTCGTGTTAGAAGTACGACACCTGCAGAAGACAGATACCTCGTCCTATCAGCAAAAAGGAACAGGCACACCACAGCTCAGCAGGTGGCAAATCAGTTTCTTGCTGCCACAGGTTAGCAGATCTCCCGAAAAAACTGTTGCCAGACATTTGAGGGGAGAAGGACTATACCCCCGCAGACCTGTTGTGTGTCTCATTGACCAAACAGCACCGTACTGCCTGTTTGCAATGGTGTCGTGAGCATCACAATTGGACTGAACAGGACTGGGCATGAGTACTATTCTCAGATGAGAGTGTGTTCAGTCTGTCATCAGATTGTAGACGCCAACTGATCTGGCGTGAGAGTGGTACTGGTTATTGTCCAGAAAATATCCAGGAAAGGGACCAATATCCGACATGCAGTGCCATGGTGTGGGCCGAAATCATGATCAATGGCCGCACGCGCCTACATGTGGCTGAGAATGGGACTATGACGGGCCACCGATACATTGATGAAGTTCTACTTCCTCATGTTCGTCTTTTCCGTGGTGCTGTCGGTGATAAATTTGTTTTTATGGATGACAACGCAACATGTCATTGAACACTCGCTGTTCAGGATTGTCTAGACAGCAAGGGTATTCAACGCCTCGTATGGCCATCACGTTCTCTAGATCAGGGCTGATTGTGCTCCAGAAAAAATCCTGATTTCCAGATTTTTCGCTAACAGTGATCCGGAAGTTTCCGAAGATCGAAAGTCCAGACGTTTCAAAAAATCATTGATCACTTAAGTTTCCGGAAATCAAATTTTTAAAGGTGGAACTTACAAACACAGTTTATTTAATTTGTTTGTAAGGGAGAGAGAGCCACAGAGATACTTTATAAGCTTATATTCATGATTAATATTCATTTTTTATCACTAAATAGTTGTTATAATCATAAACTCAAAAAAAAAGAAGACATATTTGTAAATTTTAATTACTTCTCCAGGTCATCATAGGTATGTGTAAATGGTATAATTATGTGTAAAATTTTAAATATATTTTTAGTAAACTAAGAAATATTGAGAAAAAGGAAAAAAAAAACCTTGTTTAAATTTTTTTCAATTTAAAATGTTTTTTTTTTTTTTTTAAATTCAGGAAATTTTTCGGAATTTTGACTTGGGCTCACAATCACCCTTGCTAGATCTAAACCCCATTGAAAATGTTTGGGAGGCAACTTGCTGGTCGAAACTATCATCCGATAAACAAGAACACCCTCTTCCGTGCACTGACAGAGGAATGGGATAAATTGCCTCAACAGCTGCTGGATAATGTTGTGCAAATTATGATACGACGTGTAGAATGTTGCATCACACTCCAGGGTGGACATATCCCGTACTGACACCTTTCTTCAAGTTGCCTGCTGACATTTAGATACATTGTTCCATTTTTCCGTACACAGCATCAAATGAACATTTTTTTTTTCTTTCAGATGTTTCATAGCTTTTGTACTTTCTAGAACAATGAATATTCTTTATTCTAATGTCTGAACAGTGTGGCAACTATATTTTAAACTACTAGGCCTCATATCTCGCTTAATGTTATGCTACATTGCAATTTGTGATCCTTCCTTAGCAATTGTTCAGCAGTGTATATATATATACCCGACATTACAGTGATTCTTTTCAATATATTCAATGTTATTATAACACCCATTAAAACCTCTTATCAGCAATTCGTCAAATAGTTTCTGAGAGCTAAAATTTCAGAAAAATATTATTTTTAAATTTATGAAGGAAAAAAGAGTTATTTGGAAGGGGGTTTTGGTTATTTCTGGGTTTTGGTTTTATTTAGACATTGCAGTGATTTGGACTTATGTTATTTTACCGAAATACCTGCTCTGAACCAAGGTATAATATTTTTGTGTAATTTATAACTGATATTTTAATTGGTACTTTAATGTGACATTAACCTTAAAAAAAGCAGTTTAGAATATTATCAATCATAATCACCCTGGGAATAAAAAAAGGATTAAAAAATCTAGTTTACTCTTTACATAAACATTTTGAAAATAACTTTATTTTGCAATCTTTTATTTTCTGACGTCATTAGGTATTGATATTTTTTTCATTTACAGTGCTTAGAGTATATGGAGCAAACAAAGGAAATGCGTGTCACACTTTGCTTCACTCTCTTAAGGATTGGGAAAATTTCTAACGCAGAGCAGGTAACTTCTTTTACTGTAATTCTATTCGTGTCTTTCTCTAAGCCAATACCATAATTTGATTTAAACATTCTTATATCAGATTCATTCATTTGTTGTATAACGAGAAAGTCAGGGAATTTTATGAATTTGAAACTTTTAATTAAAATGCCCAAAAAGTCTGGGGAAATTAATAAATTTATGTTTGCAGTACCTATATAAGACTGTTATTTTATGAATAAGGCATAACTGAAAAATTAATAATAAAATTTATACCACCATTTTCAAATTTGTCTGCAGTGTATCTATTGTTGATGAGAAACAGAAACAAAAATCTCTCTTACTGGTTCTATTAAATACCACTGCTTTTTAAAAATTAATTCCTACTAAGATTTCAGATTTTTGGCAAAATTGTGTCTTAAAAATTAATTAGGTTGAAATCTAACCAATTTCGAATAAAGGTCGTGAAAATTTTTGTTTAAAGGAAAATTTGGTAGGCACCCTAATCTGGAAAAGTCAGGGAATTTACTATTTTTTTAAAAATATTTATGCCTACCCTGTTTAATTGTATAGTGCATCCTTCTGCAGGGAGGGAAGAAGTAGCTACTGCAAAAAAATGTCTGAAGGTTGCAGGATACCAATAAATTATTTTTTAGACCCATGAAGGATAATATATACTTATATATATATATATTTATTTATATTTTGGTTTAATAAGAAAATATTGGTTTGTCGTCGAAATTTATCTATCGCATGCTGCAAATTACATTTTTATACAAGTGAAAAGAATTTTATAACGATATAAATAAAGTGGTAAAATTAATGGAATATATTTATAAAATTTCAAAAAGAAGCTGATACATATATTGTTGTT